TATGTATGTATGACCAAGGTGTATGTATGTATGTATGTATGTATGGCCATAGTGGATGTATGTATGGCCTAGGTGTATGTATGTACGGCCATAGTGGATGTATATATGGCCTAGGTGTATGCATGTATGACCAAGGTGTATGTATGTATGTATATATGTATGTATGTATGGCCAAGGTGTATATATGTATGGCCATAGTGTATGTATGTATGGCCTAGGTGTATGTATGTATGACCAAGGTGTATGTATGTATGTATGTATGGCCAAGGTGTATAAATGTATGGCCATAGTGGATGTATGTATGACCTAGGTGTATGTATGTATGGCCAAGGTGTATGTATGTATGTATGTATGTATGGCCAAGGTGTATATATGTATGGCCATAGTGGATGTATGTATGGCCTAGGTGTATGTATGGCCATAGTGGATGTATGTATGGCCTAGGTGTATGTATGTATGGCCAAGGTGTATGTATGTATGTATGTATGTATGGCCAAGGTGTATATATGTATGGCCATAGTGGATGTATGTATGGCCTAGGTGTATGTATGGCCATAGTGGATGTATGTATGGCCTAGGTGTATGTATGTATGGCCAAGGTGTATGTATGTATGTATGTATGTATGGCCAAGGTGTATATATGTATGGCCATAGTGGATGTATGTATGGCCAAGGTGTATGTATGTATGTATGTATGGCCAAGGTGTATGTATGTATGGCCAAGGTGTATGTATGTATGTTTGGCCAATAGTATTTCCCAGGGTAAGTAGTCAAACCATTTAACAAGGATTTTACAACTTACCTGGGATCCACATAACACTGTTCCCATCATCCAATGGAACTGGAAACTCTTGCAAGGAGCTTCCATTAGTTCCGCTAATATGAGCCTGCTGTTCAGTAAAGACTCATTGACTGAACAACCTCAGCCAAAAACGTGTGCCTGAATTCCCGGGGTTCGCTCAGTGCTGCAGCTTCCGTGGACACAGGAAGAGGCAACCAGGCCCAGCAGACAGTAGGTAAGTTGTCAAACTTTTCTGAAATTATTTGACTACTTACTCAAGGAAGGTACTTGGGCCACAGTGCTAATGGTGCTTGGAGTTTTCACAATGAAACTCTAGGTATTTTCAGTTAAATATTCTGATATATCAAGGAATTATATTTTATTTCAGTGATACGCCATTACAGATTTTGTAATTTATTTTTTATAATGCATTCTAAATTTTAATAAAATGAATGACATTGTCAAAATATCGGCCTTTGAAACACATTTTTCAATCTAGATTAGAAATCAGGTTTTTTTTGTATTTTTTTTTTTTAAATGCGACTATAAATAGATTCATGGATAAGCCACAGAAAGCTTTGGCTGCATACTTTGCTGAAGATTATATGTTCCATATATTGGTGAAAGCTCGCACTGCTGAGTTGATGTTCCCAGTTTAATGCTTTGTTCCATTGTGTAACTGAAATATAAAAGTCGTGTCTATTGTAAAAGACTGCTTTTGAAGATCGCAGCTCAGATGCAGAGACAGATCTGTGTGTTGTTGCAGAGTAGCCTCGGCTTTCATAAACGCAACTGTACAAATTGGAAAATCCTCTTGAAAGATTTGTCAGATCTGGATTCTATGTAAAAAGAACATGTGCATTTGTATATCTTGCAGGTTGACTTAGTTTAGTATTTAGACAGTACATTTTTGGAGTAACAGGGAAACACTTGCTCAAGTACCAATGTGTTAATTATGTCAATCAACATAAAGTACACACTCTTACAGTTTTTAGACAACATGCTGTAGGAGTGAGCAAGAGACTGTAATGCAACATTTAACTCTCTACCCCATCTGCCCCATAATATATATATATATATATATATATATATATATATATATATATATATGTATGTATATACAGTTGCAAGAAAAAGTATGTGAACCCTTTGGAATGAAATCCTTATGGATTTCTGCTCAAATTAGTCATAACATGTGATCTGATCATCATCTAAGTCACAACAATAGACAATCACAGTCTGCTTAAACTAATAACACACAAAGAATGAAATGGTGCCATGCTTTTATTGAACACACCATGTAAACATTCACAGTGCAGGTGGAAAATGTATGTGAACCCCTAGACTAATGACATCTCCAAGAGCTAATTGGAGTGAGATGTCAGCCAACTGGAGTCCAATCAATGAGATGATATTGGAGGTGTTGGTTACAGCTGCCCTGCCCTATAAAAAACGCACACCAGTTCTGGGTTTGCTTTTCACATGAAGCATTGCCTGATGTGAATGATGCCTCGCACAAAAGAGCTTTCAGAAGACCTACGATTAAGAATTGTTGACTTGCATAAAGCTGGAAAGGGTTATAAAAGTATCTCCAAAAGCCTTGCTGTCCATCAGTCCACGGTAAGACAAATTGTCTATAAATGGAGAAAGTTCAGCACTGCTGCTACTCTCCCTAGGAGTGGCCATCCTGTAAAGATGACTGCAAGAGCACAGCGCAGACTGCTCAATGAGGTGAAGAAGAATCCTAGAGTGTCAGCTTAAGACTTACAAAAGTCACTGGCAAATGCTAACATCCCTGTTAGCGAATCTACAATACGTAAAACACTAAACAAGAATGGATTTCATGGGAGGATACCACAGAGGAAGCCACTGCTGTCCAAACAAAACATTGCTAAACGTTTACAGTTTGCACAAGAGCACCTGGATGTTCCACAGCAGTACTGGCAAAATATTCTGTGGACAGATGAAAACAAAGTTGAGTCGTTTGGAAGAAACACACAACACTATGTGTGGCGAAAAAAAGGCACAGCACACCAACATCAAAACATCATCCCAACTGTGAAGTATGGTGGTGGGGGCATCATGGTTTGGGGCTGCTTTGCTGCGTCAGGGCCTGGACGGATTGCTATCATCGAAGGAAAAATGAATTCCCAAGTTTATCAAGACATTTTGCAGGAGTACCTAAGGCCATCTGTCTACCAGCTGAAGTTCAACAGAAGATGGATGTTGGAACAGGACAATGACCCAAAGCATAGAAATAAATCAACAACAGAATGGGTTAAACAGAAGAAAATACACCTTCTGAAGTGGCCCAGTCAGAGTCCTGACCTCAACCTGATTGAGATGCTGTGGCATGACCTCAAGAAAGCGATTCACACCAGACATCCCAAGAATATTGCTGAACTGAAACAGTTCTGTAAAGAGGAATGGTCAAGAATTACTCCTGACCGTTGTGCACGTCTGATCTGCAACTACAGGAAATGTTTGGTTGAAGTTATTGCTGCCAAAGAAGGTTCAACCAGTTATTAAATCCAAGGGTTCACATACTTTTTCCACCTGCACTGTGAATGTTTACGTGGTGTGTTCAATAAAAACAATGGTCAAGAGTTTCGTAAGTGTTCGACGTGCATCCAGTTAGGCAGCACAAACAGATTCTAGTTGTGATCGTTTATGCTTGTCCACTCTGCTGGTTTAGTCAAGGGGGACGCCATGTCAATCAGGCTGGTCCATGATCGGACCAGGTAGAGGTGGCTATCTCCGCCTTTAGCAAATGAGTGAGGCCTTCCTGCTGTACAAATAGGTAGTCTATTCAGGCGTATCGGCCATGTACAGCAGAGTAGTGAGTGCAATCCTTATCCACTGGATGACAGGCCCTTCAGCAGTCTACTAATCTCATGTCACTGAGAGAAGTACAAATCACTTGGATACGCCTTTGGGATATGCTGCTGTGTCCAGTTGAGGAATCGAGGATGGATCTAGGGGGACATTGAGGTCCCCGCCGACTATCAGAGCTCCCTCTGTGAATTGGCTCAGCTTGGACAGTGTCTGACAAAGGAAGTTCAATTGGCCTTGGCCACCCTGCCCTCCGCCTCCCCTCAGGGTCCCGTACGCTGTCCATTTCTTGAAATTGTAAAGCTGCCACTCCTGTTTTCCGTGAAGTCGAGTTGTTGCTAAAATAATTGGCTGGATAATATTTATTTAGCAGCGCTGGGGTCCAACCCTCCAGGAAGTGAGTTTCCTGTAAGAGAGCCACGGATACTCTGTGGGTTTGGAGCTCCCACAGCACATTTGATCTAGGCTCTGGAGCATTGAGTCCTCTGCAGTTGAGCGTGAGGATCAAGAGCGAGACTGCGCAATACACCATATAGAGAGCCCGAGCTCCCCAGCCCTGCTGGGCTAGGAGATGAGGTCCGCAGAGCAAGGCAGCCACTCTGCCACTCAAGGGTCCAGGAAGTAGGTATGGGTAGGTCAGGGATAGGGGTAGTGTTGGTCTCCTCACCGCGTCCCCCTGCTGGTGTTAGGAGGGAGGCAGCAGGGAGAGCAACTGGAGGTAAAGAGAAAAGAAAAGGGTTGAAGACAGAGAGAAAGAGGTAGAAGGAGGAAGGAGGCTCCTCCTTTGAGCAAGTATTGCCTTTGGCAATTTCCTCTTTATCGAGGGGATACTCGTGTGGCAGTGACGGATGTTAACCTTCGTCCCGGAGAATCCAGCCGGGAAAGCAAGCCATCAACACCACACCACCCTGAAGACACACACAAGTGTATGAGGAGTGCGTGGCTCAGCTCCCAACCGCAAGTGTCAGATGCCCTAGTTAAGGGAGTTGCACAGTGCAACCTAAGGAAAAGATGCCCTCTCGTCAGCACATTCAAATGAGAGTCCAACCTGTGGTCCCCCACCCCCCCAAGTTAACCCACTGAACTGATGTCTTATGATGTGATGCAAAGCGTGATTCCCGGGAGGCCTGAAAGTCACTCACTCGTTGTAGTTAACCCAAAAACTCCCCAGTCTGCAGTAGTCCCCACACCAGTACCCAGTACCACAGTGTCCCCTCCCCCCGTGAAGTCAGGTGGGAAAGATACAACACCCTGTCCTAGTCGTCATGCTGCTGTTCCGTAAGTGAGCTAGCTAAAGAAAGGTGCATTCCCAAGCAAATCATACCCCTCCCCCCGAGTGCCAACTGGAGTCCCACAACTGCCCCATAGTATGTTGCCTGTATCCTACCCCTAAATGTCACATTTCCCTCCCCAATGATGGCTCGAAACAGGGAGGTAAGTAGGCATTCAACATCTTTGGGGCAATTGGGTTCCGGAATACCTCTAACCCGCAAGTTGCACCGTCGACTGCGATTATCCAGGTCTTCCATCTGGCCGCGCATCTCTAACAGCATGGTGCCCTGCCTTGCCAGTGCCTGATTGGTAGTGGTGACCCGGGTCGTGAGGCCTTGAGTAGTGAGCTCCAGGGTCTGTATCTGTGCCCCTTGCACGTTCACCTCAGTGCGGATCAATGCCATTTCAGATTTAATGGTGTCATGTACGGAGGACGGTGGAGACGGTGCCATATTGGAATCCGATCCCACATGGCTGGTCCCAGTCAGGGCCTGCAAAAACCCATATATGGGGCATGTTTGAGAACTGGGATTCCTGTGGTGTCTGGGGTGGGTCTGTGCGATGTGTTCTCCCCATTAGCGGTTGGAGAGGTTAGAGTTGCGCTGGTAAAATGCTTATGGAGGGCTTAGAGGAGCAGAGCGCTCAGGCTATGCTGCCATTCCGGTCGGAGTCCAAACCACGCACCCATATTTTTTTTATTATTATTATTATTATATTTTTTTATGTAGTATATGATTATATTTATATAATGCAATACATTTCTAAAATATATTGCGTCACTTTTCCTTATTTTACAGATATTTCTAGTCTAGAAGAGTTTAAAAGTCTAAAACAGAATATGATTAAGTATCTTGCTATTGTGTTCAAAAATATTAGGAAAAATGCTGTATGCGAGAAAAAAGAGCTATAAAACAGTAATTTTCCAAAGTAGAAAATACAGTGCACAGCAATTTCAAAATAAACTAAACTGTATTATTTAATTGATTCCATTAAGTTATAAATGTTTAAGTAAAAAATATTCTAGCAGTGATGCTGATTATATTTTTATTATAACTATTTTTTGTTGTACATGCATAGATAATTTAGGATTACCTGTCCTGTAAATACATTTCTTTACTAACAATAACAATTATTGGTATTCAAAATATTCAGATATTTAGAGCTAGCGATATTTTAAAATGTGGACATTGCCATGCAAAGTAAAGCATCCAAACACATATTATAAGGTATGACTAGTTTAAAGTCTAACAGTTGTTATTTAATTTTTTCCATTATTATTAAAAAACTAAAAAACATCTTCTAGAGATTATGAAGAAGCAAATGTTTCTTAAGGATTTAAGATACCTGGCTCCAGGCTGTTAGCTGTGTACAAAACCTACAATCAATTTTTTTAGAAAAAAATTCATTGTGTGTAGCTCCAGTTTGTCATGACCTAACGTGTGCTACAACAGTGTTCCTATTTAAACATTTTGTTTGATGAAAATGACAAGACGGTCAACATATCCATGTTTTAAAATAGCTTTGGCACTTTTCAGTATTTCATAAATAAAGAATGGTTTGGGATTTGATTCAGAATTTCATCATAAGAAGTCATAAGACAATTTTATGGAATACTTTTTGCAATAGCCGGGTGGAGAAACAATGACAAAAGGTGGAGCATCTACTATCAACATTTGGCAATCCCTACTGTTGTCACTATCATCGATTACTGGAGACTGACATCTTCACACTCATCGGAAAAGTTGGTCTTTGTAGGCATTACATGCATGAGATAGAATGGGGTCTTGGTGGATGAAACAAAAGGAGCGGTACAATGAAGATGGCAGCAGTGGATGTCTAAACCTTTGGTCCACAGATAAAGATAGAAGATACCTATAGCCTTACATCTGCCTGCCGCACACTAAGCGAGGATGTAACCTTCAAGGGTCTTTGCAAAACATGCAAAGACCTTTAAAAGTGAAAGATCCACTTTAACTTAACATTTTTTTTTTATGTTTCCTGATGTGAAATCTCATCAAGCAATTATATTATTGTTGTTATTATTCTTATTATACACTCTTCAGAACCATTTGCAGGATTAATACATTACAAGTAATTAGAAACATATTTACTCATTGTAAACAAATACCAGTCATAACATGCATAGAACAAAATGTAGCACAACTACGTATAAAGAAAATCCACGCAAGAACAAAACGCAGCACAGCTCAGTATAAAGAACATTCATGCAAAAACAAAACGCAGCACAGCTCAGTATAAAGAACATTCATGCAAATAGTTTAGAACAAATGTTATTCTATACTTATAAAGACTTAAATAGTTCTAAAACTAGTAACAGCTATGCCATCCACCGAGAGGACCATAATACCTCAAATCATGGGGGAGAAATTTGGATTTGTTTAATCTTCTCTGCTAGCATTATTTAAACCATAATAGTGTAAATCAGCTCCTATGGTGTTTTCTTGGTGGATGAACTAATATGTAGGGTTGATAAGAACCAAGACGTACATATAATACACAAAAACATTTTTCATATGAACTTGCCCGGAGCTGTGAAGAAAATGTCTACATAGCCATCTTAGATCCATCTGCTTCTCCTGTAGAGCAGCTGGCTGGAAAAAATAATATAAAGGATATAAACCAGTAGGTATAATTATATTTCGTGATTATACTCTACTTTAAAATTTGGTCTACCTTTATACATCAAAAATATTCAGATGGAGATATCTATAAAATGTGCAATCTTGGCAGAGAAGCAAAAGTTTACAAACTCATGTTGTCATTTATTAGAGGAGGAAAACATGACTTTATAAAAATAAATGTGAAACAATTATATAATGTTTCCATTTGTCCTGAGCCACTGAAATAGTCGATACGCATATACTGAAAAGTCAGTTGTATCTTGAGATGGCCTTGAGTATTTCTTAATGTATTCCCTATTCAAGTATTCCCTGCATTCAAGCTTAGATGACTTCTATTTAAATGTGTATCCAATGGACTAATGAAAATGACATGCATATCCCGTTCCCGACTCCCTTTCACTCCACCCACCTGTCAATCTGTGGATACGGAGTGTCTGGGAACTTAATTTATTCGGCAACAAAGTATACATGCCGGTTCCGTTCTTACACCACTTGGCCCCTCCCCACCTGGACCACGTGACCGGGATATGCATGTCATTTTCATTAGTCCATTGGATACACATGTAAGTTATCCCCCCATTGGATACAGGTATTCATGTCCGTTTGGCACTTTTGTATTTAAGGGAAATCAGACTAGTCTCTTGGCCCCTGACGAAGGTGCATCTCTTAAGGCACCGAAACGCGCGTCGGGCGTTTTTCTCATATTTCATGAGCACTGGGCACTGGTGTATATAGCACCATGTTTGGCACTAATTCTATGGGATATTTTTCGGTCTAACATAGTTTTCACTTACTTTATTTCTGCTCCTATGTCTATCTAGTCAGCTTACCAGGGAGAGAGGCTTTTTTAACTGTATATTGTCAGTTTCTTAGAAACTGAACATTTAAATTATTATCTTTCTTCTCTCTCTGGGTCCTATACTTAATCCTTTCCTGTATGTAATTGGAGGAGTTTGTGTCTTTGATATATACTGCCCCTGCTTCAGATAGAGGTGGCTTTTGGCATTTATACAATCACAATACTCAGCTTATGGATATTAGTCAGGTATAAGGGGTGTATACCCAGAGACAGTCCTGTTCTAGGTATCTTTAATTTTTTTTTTTCTGGACTCATCCCTATTCAGTATTTTTTCTAATAAAGTGGTTATATAGATAGGGCTGCCTGTTCAGTATTTATGAACTCTATATATTTACCTATGGGACTCTGTAATCTGGAGGACATGGGAGTATCAGTTTCACTTCTATAGGATTATACATTATGTATGCATTCATTATTGGATATATCTGATTCCTAGTAGTCTTTATAATTGTATTATTAGCCAGTTTATTTATAGGACTACATAGCTATATTTTGATTTCCAGGCGATGCAGCAAGCCTCAGGGGTGTTTATGAACTGAGAACTTGCAGTATCTTTTCTTTCTGTTGCTATTTTTGTCAAATTGGGGTTAAGCCCCTTTAGGGACCCCTGGAGTCCCATTGCGGTACACAGGTTTCTGGGTGGGACCCTGACACTGACCCCCTTTTTTTCTTTAGGGGAGAGTGTGTGGGTATACACCCAGATCTCTGTTTCTTCTCTGTTTGTTTTTGATATTAATATTAGTAGCTGGTGCAAACAGTGATTTTGTGACAGAAGTAATAAATAAATATACTTATATATACTTAAAAATATATACAAAAATATACACTCTGGTATCGATACAGGAGACAAAAAACAAGAGAGGGCTCCTAGTGCAGCACAATTAAGCATAGATATATATATATATATATTTCAAGCAAAATAGCTCTTAAGGTATTACACTCACAAAGCTGGATGATCAGCCCCTAGAGTACGTGGGAAAAACACTTGAGACCCGGATGACAGGTAAGTATTCTTTATTGAGATAAAACGAAAAAAGCAAAAGTACTATGTAGAGTCCTTGGTCTGCTCACCAGCCTCAGGAAACCGAATGGCAAATTCAATGTACATATATGATGTAAAGTCCTTTGGATATCTTATCCACGGCTGCTCCTGCTGACCGCCCGAATTCACTTCCTGACTCCGGATCCCTGATGGATTTAGCTCCTCCCCTCGGGGCTTTGTCAAATGGCTTGTGTGTCCTCCCACTTCCCTCCGCTATATGTTCAGGGGTTTATGATCCAATTTACTAGAAAATCCTTCTGCACACAGTCTCTTATCTGTTCCTTAATGATTAAACAGCATCACTGATCCCAATGCTAAATAACATACATCTAGACCCAAAAAGATTATCGGAAACACCATGGTAATTTCTGATAAAAGACAAAGTGCGGGGATGTCAATATTTATGTGCAAAAAACATTATATAAATATCATAAATATCCCTAAGAGTTTATGGAAAATAAAAATATAAAAACATAAATATACAAAAAAAAATAGATCCCTAATAAGAGTACATGTGGAATAGAAAATCAATTTAAAAATAGAACATCAGGGTCTGAAAAGAAAGAGACACAATCCATGAACATACATATTTAGAGATCATATATAGAACAATACATATATTATATACATAAAATATGTCAGAAATAACAATCCTTTAAAAAATGAATAGGGATGGATTGTCTAAATCTAATCTTAATGACTAACATTATAATTTATAAGCAGCTTGCTGGCGATAAAAAATTCTTAATAAATTGCATCCCATATCAAAAGGCAATAAACTAAAATATGTCCTTAAAAAAACTTATATCACAAAAAAATTGTTACTCATGTTATAAGTACTAAAATATTGGAAAGAGAAAGAAGTAAAAAAAGTTTAAAAAAATATAACAATTACAAAAAATTACACAG